TGAACGGCTGCTCTCAGGGTGTGGTCAGTGTACGGCGTTGAGGCGGCATTTGGATGTCAATTCAAACTCGAAAACCTTTTACATATAATAATTTTTCCCACCATAAACTTTTACAAGATTATTGGCATGAGAGGTTCTCTTTTGTCCAATAATACAGCTCGAACGATTTAATTGGATGAAATAAATCGGCACATCACTGAACATTCGGCCCATCACTGGTCAATAACGTTACATCGACCCCAGTGTTTTAGACAATCCGTGCCGTAATTTAGGATGTCATGTTACGTTACAGAGTGTAATTATAGGGAGGTCATTTATGCAACTCCCTCGCTTTTGCACATTTGAAAAGTGCAAATCGAAGTTATATCTTCTATTCTCGGGACCAAATTGCACAATTCACTGGTCATCATAAACAACTTTTGACATTACAAATGACACACAGCGAGGACATGCGCCGGTGTTTTACGTATGGTGCCAACATCGTAGAAAGCCACGCCATCTTCTTGTTCCATCGCTTAGTACATGCTACCTGCATGTAGTACGCGATGGAATTAATAGCCAAGGTGTTTTGGTCACATCGGCATCACATGTGATTATTATTGCTCACAGTTAATTGGCATTTATATAACCCCAGTGAATTAGCTAAAACACCAGGTATTTACTTTGTAACACAGTTACAGCCGAAGTACCAATCTTTTAGTCACGAAAACCGACGCCAAAACAAGTGAAAAGCACAATAATATATAGTAGTACTACTCCATACCCATCCAAACTCAATTAACCATACCGGTACAGTAGTTTTCACTGTCAATCAAGCTGTTTTCTGTTACTAAGTAGTACAAGTTACAATTCACTTTTATCGGGAACTCTGTGCCATACTTCAACCAAGATGTTTTATCAGGTGATTTTCCAGCTTAACTGTAAAGTGGTCAGTTTGGACGGCTTAAAGTGGGGACATTTTGTAACACTGGGTAGACGAAACTATAAAAGAGAATTTTGCGTCACTCGTGAGCACACTGCTCAAAGTTAGTCTGTTGGAAGAGTTGGAGTGGGCCTTTGGGCTTGGCAATCTGTGACGCAAGACACTATTAGAGAGGTTTCGCAACTCATCTTTATCATCACCCTCAGCTGTGTCTGCCAAAACCGGAAGTATACCTGTAAAACCTAATTAAAGATACTGCAAAACTTGATTAACAATCATCAGAATTGGCCAATTGTGAGGACAATCATCTTTGTCCTCACAGGTCGCTTTTGGTTCAGCCGCCACCTTCGTGAGGGGATGGTTGTGCTGGCCAACATCTTCCTTGCAGCACCAGTCGGCAGGGTTCAGTGGTACTGACTCTAAGCGCAGTACTCGGGCAGCACGCGGTTGCTGCCTTCAAAATACAGAATCAACAATTATCCTTGGTACTGTAGCTAGACCTGACGCGGGTGTTCAGTGTCGCAGATGAAGCCTGTGAGGAATGCCCGGTACAAGTGGTACACGTTCTCGCACTCGATCCACTGGGAGTCCAACGCACGAAGCACGACAGACCACCTTTCTTCCGCGTCCTGTACATCGTCGTGGTTTAAGTCGTCGGCGTATTTGTAGTACAAGGCCGGCAGGCCCGTCTTCGTAGCGACAGACTCGACGGAGCCACTTCATAGAGCTACGTGTATGCTGTAATGTTGTACTCGTGACACATGTAGATGGACTAGAACTTGCGCTGTTTCTAAACGACCCTCCACAAAGAACAAATCACATTGTTACTGCGTTAGCATTCGCTTGTTCTTACTGTAAACGCTCAGTCGAACCCCAGAAGCTAAGTTGACTGGGGCGTGAACCCATAGCGGCAACGTTAGCTGTGGTATTTGTCATCGTGTTGAGCACATCACTAATGAGACTTGTGAAAGGACTTCTGAGAAAAAGAACACGGAAAACTCCCAAGGGCGTGGGTCCTAGCATGGGACACAAGCAGTGTAAGGCACTAGTCATGCAGTATGTCTGCATGATTGACAACGTGCGGTGCCAAGCCGTCGAGCACAGCATGCATCCGAATAACTTCTTTAACCGGAAGCAATGCCATGACACGGATGAGGCTAAGTTGCGAAACGTAAATTATTTTGTCATTATCATTGTCCTGAAAACGACATTTGTCGATAATAATGTGATGATGAGGGTAATGTAAAGATGAGTTGCGAAACCTCTCTATTGTAAATTGTTTGTGCCATACTGGTATTCTTGACGAGGAGGTTTATGAGTTGATTGATAGTATGCGTAACATTTAATAGAATGATGTAAACGTATTTGTTGGTATGTGTTTTGCCTTCAGGATGTTGACACCGTGACATTGTTGATTTTAGAGGTTCACGTGAAAGGCCAAATGCTAAACGAGCCTATCGACGCAACTCAACTCTTTTCATAGCAGCATGTCACGCATGCTGCTTTAACAGTGTACGCTTCTTCTCGATTGTCAATCGTAGCCGCGACGACGGCGACGGCATGCTGAGTTCCAAGTGGGAGTGTCGTCAACAAGTGTTGCATTATTTGCGTGGTTAATTTAACAGCAAAAGTTGAATGTATTGTGCTTTTCAACTTTTTTGGCTATTCCAGGACTAAATCCATGCTTTAATAATAATTTCTGCTAAAATTACGGCACTCGTCCATGATTTTACGGATGCAACAGACCCATTTTTCCG